TGGTCTCCCGATGGGGCCCAGAGTCAGAACTAAACCAGGTTCTGGTCCTGGTCTCCTGATGGGGCTCTGCAGCCCCCCGGGAGACCCAGCTGGAGCCTCATCAGACTCTGAGTCCTGTCCATCAGGAGGCGAGTGTCCTTCTGCCTGCTGTTATGAAGCTAAAGCTTGTTTCTGCCCCCTGGTGGCCATAACGGGCCCAGAACTGAGCCCTGAGGAACACCACATGCTGGAAACAACTGAAGGATCCACAGAAAAGGACTAACCCAGCCACCAGCTGCTCTGGTGGAGCCTCCAAAGGCAGGAAGGACTCCACCTGGATTAGAAGCTTCAGGAGTAAACTCCAGTGAGCTCAGACTTTAGCTCCTCTGATCTATATGATCCCACCCTGTCACGTCTGGGGGAGTTTCTGGTGTGTTGTCATGTCTTGATTACCTATTGTGTACAGCTGGGGTTCCCCTCCCTCATGTGTTTAAATAGTCCTGTTTCCCATGTCCTGGGCCAGTGCGTTTTTGTCCTTTGTCTCTTTTCGTCACCCCTCGCCACGTAAGGTTTGATTTTTGCCACAGCCATTCCATAGTCTTGTTTTCCTTATTGCTATAGCCATGTTTTTGTCACAGCCTTGCCACAGTTTTGTTGATCTTTATTTGATACTTTGCCATAGCCTTGTTTACTTTATTTGATACTTTGTGTTAAAAGTCATGTTTAATCTTGCTTTGTTACTTTGTTCATAGTTTTGTCACAGCCTTGTTTTGAACTTTGCCCGCATCCACTCTTTTGAGTGCGTTTTTTGTTACAATAAACCCTGATTTCTGAATTTCCGTGACTGAGTCCTCCCTTAAGATCCACTTCTGTGACACACCCTTTGCCTCCAGAGGCTTTGGATCCCTGCTCACCTCATCCAGGTGCACCAGGAAGGTGACGTTGCTGCCCAGGGTGGCGGTCAGCTTCCCGTCCTTGGTGGTGAGGGCGAGCCCTCGGGGGGGCCTGTTGGGGCACTGCTGCTTCCTGGCCGTGTATAGCTCCTTCACCCCTTTGGTGCAGTTGTTCAGCACCACCTTTCTGTACCTGTGAGGGACACGGGGAGTTTCATCCTACAGTTAATGGGACTTAGCTTTGACTTAGCTCTGGTTTGGGTCCCGACAGCCCAATTCAGAGCATCAGTGAAGAAAACACTGACCCCCACCCCTATTCATATCAATAATCTGCACATTTCGGAGTGTTACATATTCTTTGGATTATCTCAGCATGCTCCAGGGCCAGTCAGAGCAATGACTGTCTACTCATTTTATATGATACCTCTCTGAATGAATTAATGATCCTGAAACTTGTGTTGTGCATCCTTTTGAGAACCTCAGGTTCTGGTCTCCCGATGGAACTAAACCAGGTTCTGGTCTCCTGATGGGGCCCAGAGTCAAAACTA